AATTAAATTTTTAGTAAATTTTGATAAAAGTTAAACAGTTATGGATTCCATGAAATATGTTATTAAAATTAATTGTTAACTTTGATTTAGATTAAAATTTAGATTTCAATCGATACCAAACACGATTTTATATAAAAAAAAAAAAAAATTCTCAAAAGTTGGAGTGGGCACTTGTCCCCCAAGGAACCCCCCACCCCCACCCCCCACGGTCCGCCCATGGAAATGAGTAGAGAATGTGTGATTAATACTTGTGGGTACATCATAATGCATAATTAAAAATAAAATTTGACTATTTATAAATAAATTTTAAATTTAGGATTTTTTCGAATTTTTATTAGTTGATAACGATTAAATTCTGTAAAAAAAAAAATGGAAAGAAAAATTACACACTGCAGCTCAAACAAAAGGCCAGAGCTCCACTCGTTACAAAATCCCAAACTTCTTTCAATATCTCCATGGCAGCAACAACACCCCCACTTTTTCACTCATCTTCTTCTACAATTGTTCGTTCTTCTCTCTCTTCTTCGCTTTATTCTCACTGCACTCTTCCTGTTTCTATAAGTGCAGAGATTCCATCGGCCACCTCCATTTGTCTTTCTTCCAAACTTTTATTGCAAGGATTTATTCGGCCCATAAGCACAAAGAATGCAATTTTGCTATTCACAGGCTCTGAATTGCCCGCTGTTGACACTCAGACTTTCTTGGTTACTGTCAGCGTGTTGGGTGCCATTGCTCTCTCCCTTTTTCTTGGTCTCAAGGTAACCCCATTCTTGCACAACCTTAGGAATATGAATCGTGTTCAGGGTTCTGCTTAATTTGAATGTAGTAATACTTCCTTTGTAGAAATTGACCTGTTGTGATAATTGTAGTCTTGTTAATTGGAATAGTACTGGTTATGAAAGACTGGAACTTCTATCCACAGATAGTGTAAGACAAATTCTCTAAAAGTTCTTTTAGAATTTTGTTGCATAGTGACTAATTTTAGCTCCAGGCAAGAATTGAAAGGTGGAGTATGTTGGGTACGACGTGCTTGACCCGAATAGAGGATGCAGTATACTAGATTTTAGTTTCTTTTGAGTACTACACAATCCACATTAACATTGCTAAAATGTTAACCACAACAACAGACGAAGCCCAATTCCCAATAAATTTTGAAGTTGATTACATTCTTCTTCCCCATTTCTGGCATAAATTTAGCTCACACTGCACATTATTATATTCAATCTTAAGAGTAAACATTCTATCTGTCACTAGGTAAAGAAAGTTTATGCAAGTGCTTTTAAGCTGTGTTTTTATCATTATCTTATGTTGCTACGTTTAATTTTGTGTAGGGAGATCCTGTTCCTTGTGAGAGGTGCGCTGGAAATGGTACTTCATGTCATTTTTTGAACGTGCTTGTTGAATTGTCTTTTTAGTGGTTATATGATCAATAATTTGTTCATATGGTTATTTATTGTGATTTGGATTCCCTAAAATAGTTGAAGTGCCTGTGATGCTTAAAATATAAGGTGTTATCCTCTATGCAATTAGTATTTGGCTGATAGCTATGGAATATTGCATTTTTGAAACATAGCCAAGTCAAGATCTTATTGCAAAATAATTACATCTTTGAAGTCTTTCATAATATGGAAATCTATACCAGCTAAAAAGGAAGGCTTCTCCAATAAAGATTTACACATCTGTCTTCTTGTGTGGAATTGTTGGTGTGTTGTACACTCAAGCTTGAACAATGCACAAAGGGGATGGATAACCATCTATCACTTGCTGGCTACATTTGCTTTCAGCATCAAGGGGTAGATAAAATCATGCAAAGAGATCCCACAAACTGATGGGATCACAAATGGAAACCGTTCAAGAACTGGAAAAAAAATCCGCATAATTCCTCTTTTCTAGATTATTAGAGTTCTGTAGGTTTGCCTTCGCCTTTGAAGTTCAAGGTGTTGATCTGAACACTTCAGGGTTGCAAAACTAGTAGTGATGAATTCTAGTAATTATGATTATAGAGCTGTTGCGCTTCACAAAACCACGAGTTGAATCTATATCGTGGTGTGGAAGACTGATGGGCACTCTAGTACTTCTAGAAGAAAATACGAAAACGAAGCGGAAAATAAATCAAATGCAGAGTATAATATTATTTAATGATGACCATATGCCATAAACACTTAGTACACGTTTGTTCCTATTTATAATAAAATAAGAATACCAACTCTCCACTATTTTGTGACTAATGTAGAACGCTTAGTACACATTTGTTCCTATTTATAATAAAATAAGAATACCAACTCTCCACTATTTTGTGACTAAAGTCTATCCAAAGAATAGATAACAAATATCAAATAATAATTTAACAACTTCTATCATTTGATTTGAATTTGACAATCTTATCACTCCAAGATTTTCTAGTCTCATCCTTATCATTTCTGTTGTGATTTGTTTGACATTTCTAACACTTCAGACTGAGTAAAAAAGTTTGTAGCACGTCATTATTTTCTTCAAGTTGCAGATCTGATTTCAGAATTGACATTACGCTTCATAAGATAGTGATGATGTATCTTAGTATGATAGTATCTATCTTTTTTCCATCTAGAAGACCATTACTGGCCTTGTATCTATCAAAGTTTATTTTAAATTTAACATCTGTGAGATCAACCTCAAATAACGATGATTATATTAGAAGCATCAGTGGAAGAACTGCTTTTGGACTACTATTGGTTCTTTGAACACTAATTATGGTATTTTTTTGGTGTTCAGAAAGAATTGGTCTAGGGATTCATTATAAAGGACCAATGAGTGAAATTGTATGAGAAGCCCAGCAGCATATTTCTTATGAATAACCCTTTTGATTTACCCTCCATAGTAATAGAGGATTGCATCTATACTTTAAGGGGCTGAATTTTTTAAATTCTCTGTAGGACTTGTGAGAAGTTGTTCACTCAATAATTAGGTAATTACTGTGTATAAAATGTGGAAGAATTAGGATATAAAATCTAAATAACGAGTAAAACTGCTCATTTAAACAGTTTAACTTGAGATGCATGAACATCCCAATTGATTATGTGTAGAAAATATCAAAATGCTTTGCATTTGATACAAATTCTTACACTAGCTTATCATATGTTTTTCTTCTTCATGTCTCGTGCTACTAGAAAAATGGAAATGCCATTTGTACAAAAGGGGTTGCCTTTTACTAGTCATTTGTTTATATAAGGATGTCTTAATAATCTTGGTTCTCTCATCAGCTTGTTCCTGGTCGATGAATCTCATATTCACAGAAGTCCTTTTATTTTTTTATTTCCCTCTTGGGCATGTAGTACAATCACTATTGCACTACTGGAGAACATTTATATCATTGAGAGTTGCATCAATTTGTGGATTCTGCAGCAACTATTGTTTCTTAACAAGTTATTTGAGCAAAACTCAGTGCTCTAAATCTCTTTTGATATTTCATAACTTACCTCTGGTCGAATCAATCAGGACATCTCTCTAATTTTCTTCTGACTACTGACCTCTAACCAGTTTTTCAAGATATTCGTACTCTTATATTGATGTGCAGGTGGTACAAAATGTGTATTCTGCAGTGATGGTAAGATGAAGCTGGAAACTGGGCCGGTTGATTGCCGTGTATGCAAGGGCACAGGTACAGTTTGGATTATAAGATTTAATTACTATAGTCAATGATCAACAGCCGAGTGTTACAAAAATGTCCAAAAAAATAGTAGGATTATATGCTTTATTTGTTTAGTGAACTTTGTTATATTATGAGAGCTAATCGACTCCTTCAAAAGCAGCAAATAAAAGAGTGTCTGGAACATGATATGGTACAGAAGGTTGGTCTCCTTTTCCAATGCCTAGCATGCTGTCCGACCCTACTCGGAGCAAGACAGATGGAACATAAATGACAAATACAACCATATATAATGCCAAAACTTTTTTTTATTCCCGATCTGTAGTTTCAGTACACCTCAAACCAATAAGTCTCATGCTACTATTTCAAATGATTTCCACTTTGAGTATGACAGACCATCAATTTGTAGTGCATCAGTCTTTATTGCTGAAGCTTGGACTCTAGGAAATCAATTTTCTCTAAATTTATTTAGTTCCAACTTTATCGCACCAAACAAGTGTACATATGCTTTCCTTACCTCGTGCTTTTATATTTTTTCACAGGCTTGATATTCTGCAAGAAGTGTGGAGGTTCTGGATATTCAAGACGTTTATAGCCCATAAAGATTTTCCTAGATTAATCATCTCCTTTGTAACTCGACCTGTAAGATAATTTTTTTATATCTGAATCATTAACCTTAATCTGTTCTTTTTTCAAATTTGTGGTGTGGTGAGAATTGTTCTTGAATTTGTGTGTTTATCTCGCTTGAGAGATAGCTCCAGCTGCATTAGCAAAACATGATTATCAGTTGGTAGTTAATTCTTGTTCTTAGCCAACTTGGTTGATATTGATTTACCCCGCAATATTCAAGCAGCTTATCGTTCCATCTCTTTTAGATTGTATGAATCTGAATAGCCAAAAAAGGAATCCATTTCAATTGTATTGTATTTTTAAGTGTTAGCAAATGCCTTTGAAATTGGAATGCTCCTTTCCCTCTGTCTTCAAGATCTTCAAGAACAAATTCGTGCTTATGTAAAAACTACTGCAATTCTATCATATTTATTAGTATGCTGAATTGAATGGAAATGAAAATTACAGGATTAAGCCCCGTTTGGTTTAGCTAAAAATCAGTTTTTAGTTGATTTTTATAAAAGTTGATGAAATGTGATGTTGAAAAGTTGATTAAAGTTGTGAGTCCTATGAAATATGTCGTTGAAAATGAGTTTGAAAAAAAAATGAATTTTAGAAAATGGGGGCCACACAGGGGTAAGAAGAAGAAAAATATTAGGCGTTTGTTCATTGTTCAGTCGAGCCCACTTTACTAAACATGCCCTTCTATATGGTAGGATGATTTCTCAACGTAGTAATGGAGCTGGTAACTTGTACTTTGGCTGTACACAGTTTTGTAGAGATGGGTTTAAGCCAATTTCTATTTTTCTAATTTTTGACCCATTATTAAGCCAAAAAATACTAACCTATATTTCCCCCCAAAAAATAGTGAATTAATGACAACCTAATCCACAACATACTGAAGTTTGTTGATCACAAACAAACAAAAACCTAAGATGCCAGATCAGTGGTTGAAACATCACTGTCCTACTTCATTTTAGTCATCATCTAAACTAGAAAAAACATAGAGAAAGACAAACAGCCGCCTGCATAAGATATATAGGAACGTCTATCTTCTCCTCTTCTTTTTATTCATCTACCTGCAAGTGATTTACACACACACAAACACACAAAGCCATGTCGGAAAAAGCTGCCGCTGCTCCGCCACCGATTGAGGTGGATGACTGCCGGGGTGTTCTTAAAGTTTACAGTGATGGATCAATATGGCGCTCTAACAAGCCAAGCTTTGAAGTTCCTGTACATGATGATGGCTCTGTGTTATGGAAAGATGTTGTATTTGATACCATGCATAACCTTCAGCTCCGGCTCTACAAGCCAGCTTCACCTTCCTCCTCTAAGCTCCCAATCTTCTATTACATTCACGGTGGTGGCTTCTGCACTGGCTCCAGGACATGGCCTAACTGCCAAAACTACTGTTTTCGGCTGGCTTCTGAGTTACGAGCCGTGGTTATCTCTCCTGACTACAGGCTGGCTCCGGAGAACCGCCTCCTAGCAGCCATTGAGGATGGCTACATGGCTGTGAAGTGGCTCCAAGACCAAGCCACAGCCAAGGAGCCGGATGAATGGCTCACCGACGTGGCTGACTTCGGCCGTGTGTTCATTTCAGGTGATTCGGCTGGTGGGAATATTGCTCATAATTTGGCTGTTAGGCTTGGAGCCGGCTCAGCCGATCTGGCTCCGCTTGGAGTAAGGGGTTATGTTTTATTGGCACCTTTCTTTGGTGGGACTGTAAGGACCAAGTTTGAGGCTGAGGGACCAAAAGAAGCATTTCTAAACATTGACCTTATTGACAGGTTTCTTCATTGGCTTTATTTTATACCTTTATTTAAGATATATATTTGATAATTATAATATATATATGAAAATGATCTCTTAAGCACTAATACTTAGCATATCTTATGCAAAGAACATGTGACATGCTCGCCAATTGGTTAGTACATCATTTAATTTATGGAATCTATCATATACGTATTCACTAATTATTCAATGTTTCATGTCATCGATGCTCACCACAAGTTAAGCTCTTATTAGCAAAGATGGAATATAGAGTTTCTATATCATTGTGGTTGGTGAAGAATTACTATGGAGTCGAATTTGTCGTAAAATCGAGACTCTAGTTATTCCTTCATTGGTCTCGACTAAATAATTTCCAATCATTATGATTGTTGAGTGTGTTTTTATAAGGTTTATACGTGTTATTTCTTGTGGATCATCTTTTCCTATGAAACATTCAAATTGAAAATAATTTTAACTAAGCTAAGTTTGATATGTATCTAGGGAATGATCTAGAAGTTAACTCATTTAGGCGTGTCGTATTCTCATTTACAAGAATCAGCTTGAGATAGCATGGGATAAATTTAAGATCTAGCATGGGATAATTTAAGATTCGGTCTATATGAAATATTTATTGTTATGGGATAATCAAGAACGGAATATCGAGTTATCGATCCAAGTATTCGAGGTTAACCTAAGAAAAATCAAAAGAATATTTAGTTTCGTCCAACCAATGCAACTAAAATTTATTATTGAAGGCTAGTGGTAAAAATCGACACCGAAAGAAATAAAAAACTAAAGAATATAGAAGAATAACTGTTTTTTATCTACGATAAGGGCTTTAACAATTTAAAACACATCCGACAGTCTATTTTGTAAAGCCATTTCAAGCTTATAAGGTGGCCAAAAATCATTTTGATCCACGTTATGTAGGGCACATATCTATTATTTAATTTTTATCTACATATTTTGTATAATCTACAAAAAGCTTTACCTAACATAATGGAACTAGAAATTCAATGTTACTAATTTATTGAAGGAAGATCAAAGTGGACCTTGTCATGTTTTTCTTATTGGTCTAGGTTTTGGAGGCTATCAATACCACTTGGAGAAACAACTGATCATCCACTTGCGAACCCATTTGGGCCCATAAGCCCAAATCTGGAGATAATAGGCCTTGACCCAATTCTAGTAGTGGTTGGGGGATCTGATTTGTTGAAAGATAGAGCTGAAGAGTATGCAAAGAAATTGAAAAAATGGGGAAAGAAGATTGAATATGCAGAATTTGAAGGACAGCAGCATTGCTTCTTCACCATTTGTCCCAACTCAGAACCAGCAAATGAGTTAATGATACTCATCAAGAAGTTTATTGCACAAAATTCTGTCTAATTTTTATTTTATGAACATGTTTTGCTAATTTGTATTTCGAATTATTCGAAATGATATTGTAATAGTGTGAGATGCTTCTATTATCATTTGGTTTTCCATTATTATAGCCCATGTTCGGTACCGTTAAAATATATGATTAAAATCTAGGTCAAAATGAACAATTAATTTTAACCACACATTTCATAGGATCCACAACTTTTCAACCACACATTCCATCAACTTTTATAAAAATCTACTAAAAATCTGATTTTAATCTCTACCAATCAGTAACACTTACGAGGAGCTTCTCTTTTGATAATTTGAATTTTAGAAAATGGGGGCCGCACAGGGGGTAAGAGGAAGAAAAATATTCGGTGTTTGTTCATTGTTCAGTCGAGCCCACTTTACTAAACATGCACTTCTATATGGTAGGATGATTTCTCAACTTAGTAATGGAGCTGGTAACTTGTACTTTGGCTGTACACAGTTTTGTAGAGATGGGTTTAAGCCAATTTCTATTTTTCTAATTTTTGACCCATTATTAAGCCAAAAAATACTAACCTATATTTCCTCCCAAAAAATAATGAATTAATGACAGCCTAATCCACAACATACTGAAGTTTGTTGATCACAAACAAACAAAAACCTAAGATGCCAGATCAGTGGTTGAAACATTATTGTCCTACTTCATTTTATTCATCATCTAGACTCGAAAAAGCATAGAGAAAGACAAACAGCCGCCTGCATAAGATATATAGGAACTCTTTACAACTCTTTCCTTGTCTATCTTCTCCTCTTCTTTTTATTCATATGCCCGCGAGTGATTTACACACGCACAAAGTCATGTCGGAAAAAGCTGCTGCCGCCGCTGCTCCGCCACCAATCGAGGTGGATGACTGCCGGGGTGTTCTTAAAGTTTATAGTGATGGATCAATATGGCGCTCTAACAAGCCAAGCTTTGAAGTTCCTGTACATGATGATGGCTCTGTGTTATGGAAAGATGTTGTATTTGATACCATGCATAACCTTCAGCTCCGGCTCTACAAGCCAGCTTCACCTTCCTCCTATAAGCTCCCAATCTTCTATTACATTCACGGTGGTGGCTTCTGCATTGGCTCCAGGACATGGCCCAACTGCCAAAACTACTGTTTCCGGCTGGCTTCTGAGTTACAAGCCGTGGTTCTCTCTCCTGACTACCGGCTGGCTCCCGAGAACCGCCTCCCAGCAGCCATTGAGGATGGCTACATGGCTATGAAGTGGCTCCAAGCCCAAGCCACAGCCAAGGAGCCGGATGAATGGCTCACCGACGTGGCTGACTTCAGCCGTGTGTTCATTTCAGGTGATTCGGCTGGTGGGAATATTGCTCATAATTTGGCTGTTAGGCTTGGAGCCGGCTCAGCCGATCTGGCTCCGCTTGGAGTAAGGGGTTATGTTTTATTGGCACCTTTCTTTGGTGGGACTGTAAGGACCAAGTTTGAGGCTGAGGGACCAAAAGAAGCATTTCTAAACATTGACCTTATTGACAGGTTTCTTCATTGATTTGATTTTATACCTTTATTTAAGATATATATTTGATAATTATAATTTTACACACACACATATATGTGTGGAAATGATCTCTTAAGCACTCATACTTAGTATAGCTTGTGCAAAGAACACGTGACATGCTCGCCAATTAGTAAGTGGATCATTTAATTTCTGGAATCTATCATATATGTATTCACTAATTATTTGGTGTTTCGTGTCATCTATGCTTATCACAAGTTAAGCTCTTATTAGCAAAGATGGAATATAGAGTTTCTATATCATTGCGGTTAGTGAAGAATTACTATGGAGTCAAATTTGTCGTAAAATTGAGACTCTTGTTATTCCTTCATTGGTCTCGACTAAATAATTTCCAATCATTATGATTGAAATTGAGTATGTTTTTATAAGGTTTATATGTGTTATTTCTTGTGGATCATCTTTTCCTATGAAACATTCAAATTGAAAATAATTTTAACTAAGCTAAGTTTGATATGTATCTAGGGAATGATTTAGAAGTTAACTCATTTAGGTGTGTCGTATTCTCATTTACAAGAATCAACTTGAGATAGCATGGGATAAATTTAAGATCTAGCATGGGGTAATTTAAGATTCAGTCTATACGAAATATTTATTGTTATGGGATAATCAAGAACTCAATATCGATCCAAGTATTTGAGGTTAACCGAAGAAAAATCAAAAGAATATTTAGTTTCGTCCAACCAATGCAACTAAATTTTATTATTGAAGGCTAGTGGTAAAAATGGACACCGAAGAATATAGAAGAAGAACTGTTAAGGGCTTTAACAATTTAAAACACATCTACCACTATATTTTGTAAAGCCATTTCAAGCTCATAAGGTGGCCAAAAATCATTTTTATCCACATTATGTAGGACACATAGCTATGATTCACTTTTGATCTACACTTTTCGTATGATCTACAACTTATAATCTACAAAAAGCTTTACCTAACACAATGGAACTAGAAATTCAACGTTACTAATTTATTGAAGGAAGATCAAAATGGACCTTGTCATGTTTTTCTTATTGGTCTAGGTTTTGGAGGCTATCAATACCAGTTGGAGAAACAACTGATCATCCACTTGTGAACCCATTTGGGCCCATAAGCCCAAATCTGGAGATAATGGGCCTTGACCCAATTCTAGTAGTGGTTGGGGGATCTGATTTGTTGAAAGATAGAGCTGAAGAGTATGCAAAGAAATTGAAAAAATGGGGAAAGAAGATTGAATATGCAGAATTTGAAGGACAGCAGCATGGCTTCTTCACCATTTGTTCCAACTCAGAACCAGCAAATGAGTTAATGATACTCATCAAGAAGTTTATTGCACAAAATTCTGTCTAATTTTTATTTTATGAACATGTTTTGCTAATTTGTATTTCGAATTATTCGAAATGACATTGTAATAGTGTGAGATGCTTCTATTATCGCTTGGTTTTCCATTATTATAGCCCATGTTCAGCACCGTTAAAATATATGATTAAAATTTAAGTCAAAATCAACAATTAATTTTAACCACACTTCATAGAATCTACAACTTTTCAACCACATATTCCATCAACTTTTATAAAAATCTACTAAAAATTTGATTTTAATCTCTACCAATCAGTAACACGTACGAGGAGCTTCTCTTTTGATAATTTGAATTTTATGAGTACAAATTAAACAGGGATACCATTAGTGCTTGTTTGTAGAGATTTTTGGGGGAAGAATTGATTTTTGATTAGTGATATGATGAGAAATGTGCAGTTGAAAAAGAAGAAAAAATTATTGATGTGATGAAAAGTATTATTTTATTGAAAAATGTATAGTTGAAAATGAGAATTGATTTAGAGCTTGTTTGACAAGGATTAAAATCCAATTAAAATTGAAAATATAGCTATTATTGGGTCCCACCCGTCTAATAAAAGTCAACTACAACAGCTATATTTTCAATTTTAATCTGATTTTAATCACTCTCAAACAAGCTCTTACTGCAAAATTTGAGAATAAAAAACAAACACCTCCTTAATCACTTGATGGGATGAATCACTTGTATTTTACACATATACTTTCCTGTCTTAAGTAAATCCCCCGTTTTGACCACCTTATTTTCTTATTAAAATGAAAAATATGACAGTTATCCATCACATCAACATTTAAATTCAAATTTTCTATCTCTTGTGTGGGCCATAATAACGGCTATATTTTTCATTCTCATTCTACAATAAAGTGGCTCAAACTGTGATTAGTTGATTGTCGATAATGAACTATTTAAATAAAATATAAAAATATTCTTTCCAGTTTTTTTACTTACATAATAAGTAATTATTTTGCAGATCGTACAACTCTGTTGCGTATTAATTATAAGTAAATAAGTTGATATTTTTAACATTAACCAAACAATCCTTAAAAGGCAGCAAATTTCCACATTTCATAAGGTCACGACGGTAATTTCAATGTTTCATCCCCACATCCAACCTGCAAACCTGGCTCCATTATTCCCTAATTCAAAATTTTCAAATCTCAAACGGTACACTCCACCTTTTCAAATCTAACCCCCCACCCCCTCTCCCTCTAAACAACAATTGCCCTAGAATTCTCTCTACACTCGTACAGATTTTCTCATATTTCCGATCCAGATTTCGTGTAATCCCTCGTCACAATAATGCCGCTGATTTCTGGTAATAATTCTGAATCATCGAACGCAGTTAAAACCCCGTTCCGATACCAACAACCCGACCCGTCTGACTCCACTACGACGTTGATGAAGACTTTAAGCTCGCCGGAATTGTTCTTGAAATCAGCTTCTGAAGATAATTTCTTAGTGAATTCTACTTACAAGGATAAGGCCTGTAAATCTGATGATGGCGACATCACTTCGTACACCAGTCGCAGTTTCGAGTTCCGTGAAGATCCCTCCTTCTGGAATGACCACAATGTTCAGGTGTATAATTTTTTTTAAAAAAATTGTTGTTTTATCTAATTGAGTTTTTCAACATGTTAGTGTTGTACATTGTGCATTAGTTTACTTCCAATTGCACAAGGCAACGGGCATCTTATGCGATTAGCACAAATTGTTGTACCTCAATCTGGTTGCAATAAACTTTTTTATTTACCATTTATGAAATTATTGAGACACTGTGCAAATTGAAATTGTTACTTGTTATGGATACAATTTTTGGTTGCAAGAGATTTTTTTATTTTCCAGTTATTAAATAATTGAGACACTATGTGCAAATTGAAATTGGTACTTGTTATGGATAAAATTTTTGTACCATGCTCTCGCTGGATGAATATTTTTGTATGTTGAAATTTTAAGGTGGTTTCAGTTTCAACTTCCCAAAGGGGAATGTGTTTCAACGTTGTACATTGGCACCTTACTTGACATGAGGGAATCCTGCCTATAATTGCTAGAGAATTACATTTCCTGTGAATTTTAATCTTAAGGCCCTAGGCAGTAACACGGTCAAGTTTCACACCATAAGTCCATAACTTTGTATCTACTTGTGCTAAAGCTAGTATTCGAAAGGGAAACTTTATAAACGTTAAAAAATGTGGTTAAATAATACTTTTGTTGTTTGATTTGGTATAGGTTATTATTAGAACTCGTCCTTTGAGTAGTTCTGAAATATCACTGCAAGGGCACAATAGATGTGTTAGGCAAGACAGTTCCCAGTCAATTACTTGGACAGGGCAGCCAGAATCGCGCTTTACCTTTGACCTAGTTGCTGATGAAAATGTTAGCCAGGTAATATTTTTTTTAGTATTCCTTATTTGCTTACAAATGTCTTTTCTATATCACCTTAAATCATGTTTGTAATAATTCATCAGGAAATGCTATTTAAAGTAGCTGGAGTGCCTATGGTGGAGAATTGTGTGGGAGGATATAACAGCTGTATGTTTGCTTATGGACAAGTGAGTTAAACCATCTGCATTCTCATGGAATTCCAGTTTTACTTAGTTTTTATAATGCAAAGCTCTTTATAGTTAGTTGGACATATCGAGTTATTACTTTTTACATTAATTTGCAGCTATCTTAGTGATAGCTGACTGCATGAATTTGTTAATATTCTTGTATGATTCAATTTAACTTTTCTATATAGACTGGAAGTGGAAAAACTCACACAATGCTTGGTGACATTGAGGGTGGCACGCGAAGACACAGTGTTAATTGTGGAATGACGCCTAGAGTCTTCGAATACCTATTCTCTAGAATTCAAAAGGTGTACTATAAGTATTGATTCTTCTCTTGATTGAAGACCTTTGGTTTCTACACTCGTTGTCTAAAGTCTAAAATTAATGAAAAAATCTGTTGATTTAAGAATTTGCCACTGAAAAACCAACCTAATGGAATTGGCCTTTATATTCTTTGAACAGAAAAATCGTTTTGTACATCAAAGGAGTTTCTTTTTGGGTCCAAATTTTAGTTGTAGAAAAATTTCAAGGTTCATTACAGTTTTGCTTGTTCCTTTTCCATTTTCTACGAGACTAAGACATTATCATGCCCCTGTTTTGGCTCCATTTTACTTAAAATGTATTTTTCTCTATCTCTTCTTTTTCACCGCACATTCTCCACTAAAATAATGTTACAGGTAAATTCAAAACTTTTCCTTCTTTTTTAATTACATTCTTCAAAAAATAACTATTCCAAAATACATTTTTCCCAAAACCTTAATAAAATGGACCCCAAACAAGATATGGAATTACCTGTAGTATGATTGTATCATTGTATGTAAGACCTATCTACGTATCTTTGTCGTTTCTAATGTAAGGTGTTGAAAACATGTTTGTTGCCTCTTGTGATTCCTTTATTTTTTACAGGAAAAGGAAGCTCGCAGGGAGGAAAAATTAAAATTTACTTGTAAATGTTCATTCTTAGAGATTTACAATGAACAGATTCTTGATCTTTTGGACCCTTCATCTGTCAATTTGCAGGTATCATTCCTTAATGCATCCCAATTTGGCCATATTCCTTGTTGGTATATTCGAGTTTTATATGGAGCAGTCTATACCCACCTCTATCTTTAAATATATCACGTTTTAGGGAACAAAACACCTGCTGATGCTCTATATTAAGTTGTTATTTTACTTTGAGGAGAGATTGTGAAACTCACCCTTCAAATATATATGTGTTGCTCTTGTGTAATCGTTGGGGGTGGGGATTTAGATTGGATTCTTATTTCATTGTTAAATCTTACTTGTACATGAACCAACCATTGCAGCTGTTCAAATTAAATAAGATTTCACCTTGTTTGAAACTAAAATCTTATATATAATACATCTATGTATATTTTGTGGAGATGTAGAATTTGAAAATACCACAACATGAAATGTGAAATTTATAATTTAGGTTTCTGGGATACATCAGGTTGTTTCATTTGACTAAAACGTCAAGAACTTCCAATGTGGTTGTTTTCCCTAGCCCAAGGGCCTGTGTGAGAAATGCTAATGGAGACTATTAATTGATTTCATGCAGATCAGAGAAGACATTAAGAAAGGCATTTATGTAGAAAATCTCAATGAGGTTGAGGTCACGAGTGCTCGGGATGTGATCCAGCAACTTATTCAGGTTTTCCTTATGAATAACTTTCTTGTATCTTTTCTGTTCTCAACCTCATCAAGGGAAAAACATAAACTTATTTCCCTTCATTTGCTTGTCCTATCTAAAGCAATATACTATTCATATAATTGATAACAGAGATAACATTTCTCTGATTAGCATTGGCAATTGAACTAACGATATAAATTTTTAGAGAAAATGTCAAATAGAATTGCAGGTTTTTATTCTTCTCAGTACATCGAAGACACCTTTATTGAGGAAAACCCAGAAATTATCTTCAAATATGTATCAGAAGAAAGTGAATTTGACTGGAGCTTACCGCCACTCATTTTTCCCTTTTAGTTAATTATTACATATTTTGATACGAGTTATTCATGCAAGATATCCTAAAACTTCATCACTGAAGGATTCTTAGATTTTCATTAAATTGGTTGATGGTTACTTTCTCTATCTGATTTTATAAGACGTGCATAACAAACTCAGATCTTATGTTTGCTAAATTTTACGAACCGTTGCCCTATCTACAAGCATGGCACACTTTACAAGTGGTTTAACAATTTTAAGTGTTCCAGGGTTCAGCAAACAGAAAGGTAGCTGCAACTAATATGAATCGTGCTAGTAGTCGTTCTCATAGCGTATTCACATGCATTATAGAAAGCAAGGTTAGAGCTATTTTTTTCATCTTCATTTATTTCTTCCCATTTTTGCCCTTTGACTTTTTTTTTTGAATCTTATGTGAATTATAATGCGTTCCTCCTTCCAGTGGGAATCCCAAGGGATAACTCATCACCGATTTGCTCGACTTAATCTTGTAGATTTAGCAGGATCGGAAAGGTAAGAGTATAAATATGGTAAAGAGATACAAGAAAAAGCTTTTAAGCGAGAAAAATCACATGGCACTGTTAAAAGATTTCATACATTTCTTTTGATTTTTGTTCTACAAACTTAGGCAGAAGAGCTCTGGTGCTGAAGGCGAACGTCTAAAGGAAGCTACAAACATCAACAAGTCGCTTTCTACATTAGGGTTTGTTACCAACTTTTGTCATTGATATTGTCAAGATATTATATTTTTCCATTATAAATGTTATATTTTAACTACGACATTAAAAATGGATTTGTGATATGCAGGCTTGTCATAATGAACCTCGTGAACATCTCTAATGGGAAGTCACTTCACGTTCCTTATAGGGATTCGAAGCTCACATTTTTGCTTCAGGTGAAAAGTTTTATTGAAAAACCTTAGTGCAAATACACATTATGTTTATGGACCAGAACTAGAGTACAAGCTGTATTTTTTATCCATCACTTTCCTTTGTTTGAAGTCTTAGTCAAGGTAGTCTTTGTTTTCCTCTATTATTTTTCAATCTTGAATTCTGAAAATACTGAAGGATTCTTCTTTCATACGCTCGCATCAGAAAAATTCACTTCAAATTCAAAATCACGAAAAAAAGTTTATTTTGAATCATTTTATCTAAAAACTTAAACTGCTAGAGAGGAAATAAATTTATTCATTTAAATATTGTCAGCATACCTCGTCATGGCCATGTTCATTTATTGATCAAATGCTTTACATATGCACAATTTTCATAAATGGGTGGCGTGTAGACTTAAATTTAGGACATTTGCCTCTTTAAGTCGAAACATTTCATATAAAAGCTCAAGATGTTAGGGAGATGACAAATTTATTCATTTAATATTGCCTTCAATAGTTTATTATATCTATTTCTTTTTAATCTTTTTTCAGGATTCATTGGGAGGGAATGCCAAGACACTAATCATTGCAAACATTAGCCCTTCTATCTGGTTTGTTCTTACTCCCAACCATTTGATCAATGAGTTTACCTTATATGTTGCACACTTATTTGAAGGAGACATCTGAATGCAATCTTTTTTCCGTAAAGTTATCCCATGAAATTCAAGTAACACTGCATTATGCATGTGCAGCTGCTCACTGGAGACTTTAAGTACATTGAAGTTTGCCCAACGTGCCAAATTTATAAAAAATCACGTAAGTAATGTGGCTTGGTCATTCATATTGGTTAACTGCCTCTAATATTCTGTATCCATTAGCGGATTTAATTCATGCCATAGTTCTTTTAAAAGATTCCGTAAGCAAACATTTAGCAATTTGTAGTGCCATTGCAAAAATATGTTCGTTTCTTTCAGATAATTGGCCCCAACTTCTCCACTTGGTATTTGTGTTAAAAAGTTGAAATGTTTTATTCTTTCTAGTTTCTTTAATGAAGACCCACTAAATACCTTTAATGCGTAAAATTTCGTTGTTATTTCTTTCTTGTAGGTAGGTGGTAGCCATAAAGCTATTATTTCTTTCCTTTCTTACACTGTATTTGTTACTCTATTAGGCTATTATTAATGAAGATGCTTCCGGGGATGTGCTTGCTTTGAGAATGGAGAACCAAAATCTCAAGGTATTAACCTACTTCAACTGGGATTTTACATTCATCCTCACTCCTTATATTGATTAACCCACAACATCCATAAATAGTTGGTTTTAGTCTGGAAGTGCATCAAAGGTCAGTTATTTTGGTGTTTGCTCATTAAGTCCTTGTTTGAGCCACATTCTCATTCTTCTACTCATTTTCAACCACACATTTTTCAATAAAATAATATTTTCTATTACATCAATAACTTTTCCTTCTTTTTCAACGACATATTCCCCATCACATCACATCAAAAAATGCACTCTCCTAAAAAATATGCACCAAACACACTCTAAATTCGTTCTACATCCCCAGCATAAAATCCAAAATCATATCATAAGTATAATTTGTTAAACTTGGGACTGTCAATATTTTTAAGTATGAATACGGACACGTTGACGAGATCCTAAATACAGAAAACCCTTAATGGATAACAAAGATTAAAGCTGATAGGTAATATACACAGAGTAAAAAGTAGCATATGCATTAGGGCACTTCACTTGTGTTCCGAGTTGATGTTACCACGCATGGCAGCATGTTTGGCAGGGCTTATTTTGAAAATGCTTGGAGCATACTCTTGATTTGGTTTCTCCACTTCCAAATTTCCGTGCCATTTTGGTGGTGTAATTTTGCAAACGTATGAATTAGTGCCATAATTTGATTATGAAGTCATGTCATACTATAAGTTCCCAGTTTGATACAGCTGAAGAAGACCCGAGGGATTAGAATGGTGACTTCAGTTTAACAGTGCATTGTTAAAATGCAATTAACCAGTGTCTTGATTAGACATTTTGCATATGTTTAACTATTATATTATGCTTCTGATTTAGAAATATCACATTCCAACATTGCTTGAACAGAAAACTGGAGATTTTTATTTTTTCTCTGTTTTTATCTTAGTAAAATTTGCCTTAGAAAGTTATTCAAACTTTGCTTCATCAATCTTCAAAAGCAGGATGAATTGAATAAGACCGCTTCTTTTGAAGGCTTTTGTTTTGTAGTACTTTTTGGTTATTTATCATAATCAATAATGTTATTTCCAGAAAGAAGTATCACGTTTGCGAAGTCTAGTCAATGGAGGAGCTGAAGGCAATGATGCTGACATTTCATCAGTAACCTTTCCAGGATCTCCAGGATCCTTTAAATGGGAAAGGCTTAATGGATTTTCCAGTCCGCTTATATCGGATAAAAAGATGTCACATGTAAGTAGCATGAATCACCACCAGTGAAGTAATTTTTTAAATGACAAACTTTGATGAAGTCTTTTTTTGCAGCTTCAGAAAAAAGAGTTTGAAGTTGCCCTTGTTGGAGCTTTCCGTAGGGAAAAGGATAAAGAAATTGCACTGCAGACATTGACAGCAGAGAATCAGGCAGCTGTGCAGCTGGTATGTGTAGCTCAATTTCAGTTCTTCCTAATTTCAATTTTCTTCTTATAAAATGCTTTTAGATTTATGAATAAGTTGTTCAATTATATAAAGTTTCAAATTGAATTGCTTCCAAACTAGAGAAATACTTTTGCTCTTTTTTGACATAAATTGTTGACAAATGATCCAGGATGGCATGGCCCTCACCTCACTTTCATAACAAAATGAAGAATAGATAGTTGAGGAAAATAAAAGTCGGAAAGAGACATAGGGAAAAGATCCAACATTACGAGTAGTTGATCTGAAAGTGAATAATCTCGTACAGCATGAAGCCTTAAATAAGCCAATCAAATGTGTCAACTATAAAAATGTATTTTTATTAGGAAAATATGGTGCTTCATTATTTGTTGTCTTCTGGGAAATTCAATTCTAAATGATTTAGAATTATGCGTTACTAAACCTTCCTTCAATCTTAATCATGCCAAGTGACCCAAGGCATCAGTTAGAATTAGGTATACTAGGAGACGAAAGTAGAGGATCAGAATAATAATGTATTGTCGAATTTTTTTGATAATTGATTTATTCTGTGATGGTGAATCAGGCCAAACAAAGGGAAGATGAGATACAAGGATTGAAGATGAGATTAAGATTCCGAGAAGCGGGAATAAAGAGACTTGAAGCTGTTGCTTCTGGAAAGATCTCTGCTGAGACTCATTTGCTAGAAGAGAAAGAGGAGCACTTAAAGGAAATAGAGGTCCTACGTACTCAGGTTGACCGCAACCAAGAGGTAACAAGATTTGCTATGGAGAATTTGCGGCTGAAAGAAGAGATCAGAAGGCAAGTTTTCATTGGTTCTAAGTGTTTCTTAATAACAAAACCACTAAGGGAGTCTGTTACAACTGTCTCATTTGACTTCAAATTTGCACCATTTATTGATTAAAGAAAGTCAAGAAGTATTTCAAAATAACAAAGCACTAACTTTGCGCAACAACAATTGTATTCTGTACGTAAATAGATTGGAGTGAAATTGGGTCAATAACTTGTAGTCTTGTACCATCTCCTCTTACATTTGCTCGTTCTGTTTAAACACAAGCGTTAACATATTTCTAATTTTCGCACCAAGTATCTGCATTAGTCTTATCTGCCGTTTCTTTCCCTTTCGTGTGTATTTTTACTCTCTAGCTACATAGTTCACTTGCATTCTTTCAGTAGTGTTTGGCAATCTAATCACTGTTACTTACCTATTAAAAAGTATTGCTCAATAATTCAGGTTAAAGTCATTTTATGAAGAAGGTGAACGGGAAAGAATGAATGAGCAGATAGTGATATTACAGAACAAGGTAAAAATTTATGAAATTTTCCACGTCATTGTTTTGTTTGCTCATGTGTTCATATATACATGGATTATTCTATTCATGATCTAGGAAGCTCATCTGAATAACAACAGAAATCTATTCTTTAAACGTCGTTAAGAATTTCTTTTACTTCGCAAACCATAATGTTGATTTATGTTTTTTCAGGTCATGATTTGCCAACTTTTTTGAAACTTGTATGATTTAACTTATCTTATAGTTTTGTTATAATTTATTTTTCTATACATTTTGATTTCGGCAAAATCTTTCATGCTTCAGAAGTTAATTTTTAATTTACAAAATTCTTGACAGTCTTTTCCATAGTTGAGCTGTGAGGCTGTCAGGCCAATTGGAACTTGGAGAGGAGAAGAAGGCATTATTTTGTTTCTGTTTTTGTCATTTCCGATAAGGGTTTGCATGTGGTGGCTGGGGGTAGGGAACAAATTAAAGCAAAGTTCTCTTCTATGCCTACTTTTGGCCTCAATAAATTTTTGGGGACATTGTTTATGGCTTTGAATTGGTGATTAAAGGAAGGTGATAAAAATGCAGCAACACAACTGTATCGCTTGTTGAATGGAATGTGAAATTAGGATCTAATATTATTATCAATGTCATTCCATCATTTGGTTGTGGTTGAACTGTTTAAAATTAGTACAAAGTCATGCTAGAATTTTTAGATCTTCAGTCACATTGCATATCTATGTTCTCACTATATGAATATATAGTTTGTTTGAATTGATTCTCTTTTGTTTGCAGTTGCTAGAAGCTCTAGATTGGAAACTCATGCATGAATCAGATCCCCCGAGTGCTCAGGTGCTTAACTTTTAAATCTAAATAATATTTATATATTGATGGTATGCATAGAAAGTTTTAAACTGACAATGGATATTCAGAGGGACAAAAATCTCCTAATTTCTGATCAGGTACTAAATCAATTTATCTTACGATGTCTAAATTTCTGTCAAATATTTATCTTTGCACGTGGATCTATTATTCGTAAACAAGATGCCCAATGGATCACCGGACTACCACAAGATTATTCCAACCATTGTATGTCGTGAATTTTGTTTTTCATCCAAACCAAAATGGTTCAATCTTCAGTACTAGGAATATCTTACCTTACCTCTAGTTAATATTACACTTACAATCCTGTATAGTGCTGTATGCAATCAAATTGCTATCAAGTATCAGCACAACGATTTTCTTTCACTTTTTCCAGTTTGGAGCCATTATATATTATTCATTTCTCAAGTGCAGTGAATAAGCCTTAGATAAAAAAAATGTATTAATTGATTCCATTGCGCTGACAGCCAAAAAGCATAGCTGAAGTACAATATTTTTTTTTTACTACAGGAGTCTGCATCACCTTGGCATAACTCGACAAATGAGGAGAACGAGTTTCTCCATATGCAGGTATATCTTTATTAATTTAAGATCCTTCTTGTCTAAAAAGAATGTGGAGTCTTTTACCAAAAAAATCATGCTGTTTGTTTGTTTGGGTATGTTTCTTCCTTCATGTCACTGAACTGATACAATTTACAATCTTTCAGGCCATTCAGAATGAATCAGAACTCAATTCACTTCGCAAGAAACTTGACTTCTGTGTTGAAGAAAATGAAAAGTTAGAAAGGTAACTGTTTATCAAAATCACTTTTATTTGTATATATTACGCTTCCTTCTCTTCGAAATCCTGCTTAGGCTAAATGTACACAGTCCAGCAGGTTAGTTACCATCCTATTTTATGAAGATCGGACTCAAATCTAAATATTTCTGCAAAATATGTTGGATTCTTGAAGTGCTGATGATTTATCTCTCTCTGAAGATTTTTATTCAAGTGCAGTTATGTTATTTTGCCTTCACTATTGAAAAAATAATTTGCAGGCATGTTAAAGAATTGGTAAAAGAGCTTGAGGCAGAGAGAAAATCACACGAAGCCAAAGCAGATGAAACACAGAAGGGACAAACCGAGCTTTCTTCTTTGACGAGCAATCAAATGCTCAATATTGGAGAATGTGAACAGATGGAAATTAAAACTATGGTTGATGCAATTGCTGCTGCCAGTCAAAGAGAAGCAGAAGCTCATGAAATGGCAATTGTCTTGTCCAAAGAAAATGATGAACTCAAGATGAAACTGAGGGTCTTAATTGAGGATAACAATAAACTGATTGAATTGTATGAAGGGGCTGTTTCAGACAACAGGAAAAATAGTGATGGATCTCTAAATCCTCAAGACGACGAAGCTAAAAATAACATCCATCACTGTGATGAATTAGCTGAAGAGAAGGAACTGGCTATAAAAAATGTAGTTGAGAGTCTGGAGCATCAACTCACGGAAATGCATGAAGAAAATGATAAGTTGTTGGGTCTTTATGAGAAGGCCATGCAAGAGAGGGATGAATTTAAAAGAGTTCTTGCTTCTGGTCAAAAGAAAAATGATAACAACAAAGGAGAATTCAACTGTCCAGAAAAACTTGTTGAAATTGATGGAGGCCAATGTCTCAAATTTGATGAATCTCCTGGTTTTGAAGACGATAAATATGAGAGGGAGGAAACAGGTTCCACTGGACCATATGTGCAGAACGTTGATAGAGAGCTTGCATTCGAGGATCAACCTGAATCCAGCACAGAGGTGTTATTGAACGAAACTTGCTTGTATGAAGTAAACGTGCAAGACGATTATGGCCAATGCTTGAATGATTCAGAAATAAGCAATTATTCTGACTCAAGTGAAGCTGGTAGGCAATGTCTGCTAGAAGTTACAGAGAATTTTGAGTCAAGACCTATTGAAGAGGACAGAATGGAAACAGACGAGTTAATGAAACTTGAAGAAAGTAATATGATGCAGAAAACTAGTTTGCTGGAACTTAATGCAGCAGAGGTTTCCAGGACTGCTGGGTGTAACATGGAGATGCAGGCAAAATCATCGAGCACCATTCTCGTAAATGTTTATAAAGATCTAGATTCATTGAGAAAGAAGCTCACAGAAGCACAAGAAAAGCTTTCAGACTCTGCTCAAACAATAAGAATGTTTGGTTCACTTGAAAGAGCAATCCTTGATGTTGATGTGCTTTCAGGAGAGATTGAAAAACTGGAAAAAGATATTCAGGAAAAACAACAGTGCCATGCATCACTCAAGCTTCTTTCTTCACAGATTCAGGAAAGAAGAGATCAGCTTGACAAGAAATTATCAGCTCTTAAGTACTCTTTGGCAAGCTTTTCTTCTTCGGTTAGTTATTTTGAACAACGCGAAACTTTTGCAAGTTCAAGGTTGAATGCTTCAGAATGTCATCTAAACCAAAGGAAAGTGGAATTGGCTCGTCTTCACATCTCGAGGAAGGAAATAATGGATGCTCAATTGAAGATTAAGCAATCTGAAGTTGAATCAAAAAACTGCCTGGAAGACTTGAAATCACAAGTGGAGGAAGAAAATCGAAGACTGGAAAGTGAAAGAGTCCTCTTTGCCATAGATAATGTCGAGAAAACAGCTATTGACCTCTCACAGAAGAATTGGCAATTGAGTGGAAAAGCTACAGAGTTACTGAAGTCTGAAGAAGAGAAAACAAAGCTGCAAAATCAGATAAAGCAGACTCGAGAAAAACTCGGGGATTTGAAAAGGGAAGGGGAAGCTTTAAACAAGAAATTAGGTAAGGTGGAAAGTGATATACAAGTCCTCGAAATGGAGGTACACAAGGATATGCAGTTTGTACAAGAAATGGACCACAAGCTTCAACAGATAATCCAGGAGAAAAAGATGCTCTTGGAAATCAAAGACGAGGGAAGAAATAGATTAGAGAGCATGATTATCGAGTGCCATCAGAGCATGTTTGAAGGAGAATTAAAAGAGGAAGAGATGAAGATCGTGGACGAGGAATTGCAGATGGAATTGCAAAAAATTGAAGATTTACAGAAAGCAAAAGCAGAAGCTACAAAGAGAAAGACACAGTTATTGGAGGCCATGTCATGCAGCAACTCATGCTTTTCTGATAAGGTAGAGGAGGATCTTCATAGTATACGAATATCGGTTATGGAACTGAATTCATTGCTTCATGAATAGACAGTTGATGCCTATGTTCAACTATGATCTATGAACTCATTTCAAACTTGTGATCTTGTAAAATTTTCATCACTATTTTCAGCAATCAATGATTCCAGGGGTTTAGGGAATTTAATCATTGGAAATTGAGAAAAAAATCATCTGTGCAAGTAGTGCACTAGTGCTATATAATTTTATTAACCCTTTTTGTTAATTTATTTTTTCTGCTTTGGACAATCAAATGCTATGGAGTATGGAGTTCACCGTGTGAATTTAGAAACATTAAGACGTGGAGTCTGCATGTTATGACCAACTTCATATTTTGATACCAAATTGGTATAATGAACAGCAGAGTTTTTCTTATTTTCTATTTTGCCCTTTATTTCAATGCCAATCCTTAAGAAACAAGGATACAATATAAATTAAATAGTAACATTTTTAAAAGTATATTTATTGATTTCGATGACGTTGACTATTCTATTGTGTATACCATCTCTATTTTAAAACTAAAATCCTTCAATCCGATTGAAAATAAAATAAGGGAAATGCTATTGGTATATAGCATTTCTCATAATACTTCACATAAGGGTCAAGTGGCGCCTCCCCATTGAAGGGGCACCTCGGCCCG